TGTATCCTCTAGCACTTAGAAGACATTCCAAAATGTTTATTGAACTCTGGGTCACTCTTGTAATTTATTTTGTGATAGTATCATCTGTCTCCTCCATCTGTCTGAGTCATTTTGAAATCTATTCTCATATCAATCCTAGCTGTGTTTTGTGTACCTTTATATTCATTCACATGCTCTCCTCTGTGTTTTCAGTTTCCAACTGAAACCTTTCTATATATATCTATAAAGTTTTAGAATAGAGCTTTTTCCTTCTTCCTTGCATTTAATATTTTCCTCTTGGACATATTGTGCTCTTCCTATTGCTGTAGTATTACTCTTAATTCCTAGTCTATCCTAGCACTCTAGGATTGCCTCACTGCCTTGAAGTATCCTAATGTCAACAGGAACAAGGCACATAAAACTAAATGAAATGAGTTGTTGGTTCTTTTCTGTTTCATAATTGTCATTTACTTCATCAGGCATTCTAGGATATACAATGGAGACCTGTGTATCCCCTTACCTCCCACTGCCCCAACAAACATTAAGAAAATGTGAATGTCAACATTAATATAACTTTAGGAACTCTGAGATACTATATATAGCAGTATTAAGGAATATGATTATTTAAAACAAGAAAATCTAGGTTTTTGGTTTTGTTGGAAGGGAGAAGTTAGAAAAATTTGCGGGTGGATGCAACTTGATCTACTCTTATAAGTTCTTAAGTGTAATTTATTGATATTAACATGGTCCATTGTCATTGGTCTCACAGAAATTAGAGTTACCCTTTAAAATTTTTAAAAAAATTTTTTAGGATCAAATTAGTTTAGGTAGCATTTAATCTCTATCAAATAGTATGTGTGCATGTACACACACACACACAAAAGTCTTATACTTTTTTATTCTTTTAAAATATCAAATAATGAAATGTATTACACATATGAAAGAGTATACAAAAAAGTATGTAAATAACATATATATGTAGTAGATTTGTTCTTAAAAGAAATATAATTAACAAGGATTACATTTCCTCTTTTTCTTCTTTTTTAAAAAATGATTTTATTGATTTGAGAGAGAGATGAGAGAGTGAGCACAAGAAGGGGGAGGGGTGGAAGGCGAAGGAGAAGCAGACTCCCCACTGAGCACCGAGCCTTAAGTGGAGCCTTAAGTAGGGCTCAATCCCAGAATCCAGGATCATGACCTGAACTGAAGGCAGATGCACCTCTCTCTTTTTGTTCTTCTAAGGACTTGAATTATTTGTGTCACCTGTTCTCTTGACCTCAGGATACAGGAATGCTTATAAAGAATTTGATGTGACTGAGGAGAGGGAGAGATACCCTAAAATATTTAGGTAAGGCCAATATAGTTCATATAGTTTAATGTTCTTCATAGTTGAATTTGGTATCCACTGAAAGAACTAAGAGAAAATGACTATACCTTTAATAACAACTTAATAAAAATAGGATATTTAAAGTCTTAATCATCTAGGAAGTTTGACTTGAGAGGAAACTGGCACAAATACCTGCCCTAAAAAGATCTTTCTCATCTCCCATTACAGTGTCTGAAATCCCATTTTTGGAATTGCTCTGTTGAATCATGAAATCTTTTAGATATTAAGAGTCTCTTTTTATGGGCAACCCGGGTGGGTGGCTCAGAGGTTTAGTGTTGCCTTCAGCCCAGGGTGTGATCCTGGAGACCCAGGATCGAGTCCCATGTCAGGCTCCCTGCATGGAGCCTGCTTCTCCCTCTACCTGTGTCTCTGCCTCTCTCTGTGTCTCTTATGAATAAATAAATAAAATCTTAAAAAAAAAAAGAATCTCCTTTTGAACTAGTAACTCCTTGAGGGCTCACATCTTACTTATTATTAGCAAAGTTTCCGGCACATAGTAGGTGTTCAAGAATGTGTCTGCCAAAAGAATATTAAATAGCATCCATGCAGAAGACATTGGGAGGGATAGTACTTGAAGTTCTTATTCAACTAACACTTGTCTGATAGCTTAAAGAGAGTAATCAACCTATGGCATTCTTGACCAAGAAGTGGGACCATTTTAAGCTAGATTACCAGGCTCTTGGTATTTTTATTTTTCCAATTCCAGTTGTACTTGATTATATTATTGGAAGTAGGGAGTCTGGACTTGAGAAACCAGCAAAAAGGAGAGAGCCATCTTTCAGTCTCTTACTTATCAAATTAATATAATTTAATTCTTTAATTATAACAGTTATCATCTCTGTAATATCATATAATACTTAAGATATACCAAGCTATCTATGACTAAAAGTATGCTGTTTTTGTAAATATGTATATTTATATAAATATATAATAAATACTACAAATATTATATATGTATATGTAAGTTTGTTGTAATTTTATTATGACATGGTGTTACCTATGATTCAGAGGTATGAATCCCTAGAGGGTGTAATTCCCACTTCTATATTATTTTTAGGAGAAGATTTCACTGTCTTGAAGTGATCTGCTTCATGATACAATGACCATGAATTGTAATATTGAAAAGGAGGAGCGCCTGGGTGGCTCAGCGGTTAAGTACCTGCCTTGGCCCGGGGCGTGATCCTGGGATCCCAGGATGGAGTCCCATATCAGGCTCCCTGCATGGAGCCTGCTTCTCCCTCTGCCTGTGTCTCTGCCTGTGTCTCTCTTTCTGTGCCTCTCATGAATAAATAAGATCTTTAAAAAAAAGAAAAAAAGGAGAAAGGCTTATAATCAAGATGGAAACTTTATGACTATGAGCATCATCACCACTTCTACCATCTACACTGTGGGTACAGTGGGGTTGACTACTTTCTACAATCTATCAACTGTTAGTTAAATATTGCATGATTCAGTGACACTCAGAGATTAAGTGCCCTCAGCTAGTAAATAGTAGATTCAGGTGTGCAGATGAATCAATTATTTAAAGCATTAACTTAGGTGCCCTATCCCCACTAACTAACCTTCTCAAGTACAAAATATTTTCTTAAGCTATGATTCCACTTTGTCTCCTTTGTATTCTTTCTTTCCCTCTCTTTTAAAATCTTCTTTCCCTTTCTCTTTCACTCCCTTCTTCTGTGCTAACCTAATGTTCAAAATCCAAAAAGGGAAGAAAGTGGGTGGAGGTTGTGTGATATGGATGTAGGAATAAAACAGGGAAGAGAGAAATTTGTGACAGAATAATAGCTTATTTCCTTAAAAAAAAAAAAAGCCCACACTCCAATTCTGCCATATATTATATGCAGATTTGTAATGTTTTTAGGTGAACATATATGTGTAAGTAAAAATGAAGTTATAATGTGAATACTGTGGAGGAGAGGGATGCAAATCTTAATCTCAAAAACAAAAACCAAAACTCACATCAAAACACAAACCTAACGACTCTGTCCACATTCCCAACTATCATCTTCTTTTTTGCTATTAAAAAACAACAAAACCCCTTTCCTATCCTCTCTTTACTCTATGGCGTGTGTGTGCGTGCGGGTTGCATGTAAAGGAAGACCAGAGGGGGGGGGGGGATGATGCTTGAAGCAAAATACAATCCATTTTGTAAACATGCTTTTTATTTGATAATGGCCTCTCTTTTGGTATTTACAGAAGATTTCTCCTTGTGTATTTTACACAGGCATAGGAATACAAGATACGGAAGTATATCTAATGTGGACTACGGCTCATTTGCCTTTTCCAGAAGGCACTGTGTAGACCAATAGACACAGAGATAAGAAAGCTCCCCAAGGACAGCGAGGATTTCTCAGTGTGCTTTTTATTAAAGGATGCAGAAAATCTTGTGCCTGGCTACGGGTTGACATTTTCAAAAGCATACTCTTAAGACAATAAAAAATGTTTATGGTAAACATCAAATTTCTTTTTTCCAATTATAAATACCATACGTACTTCTAAGAAAAGAAACGTAATGAAAACTGGAGACAACAACCGCAGTTCCACTTTTTAATAATTTGGTGTCATCTCTGCCCCAGTCAGGTGTTCTTACAGTTTTCACCATACATACGTATACATTACATATATGTGTGTATGTATATGTTCAACATACATAAAAAGTGAGATTAATAGGTCGGCTTCCAGAAACCCTCTACAAGAGAGAAGGGGCGCCATGGGGCCTTCGGGAGGAACCCAATCATATTACTAATGGACTTCTTTGGCCAGCCCAGTAGTGGGACGTTGCGGAAGGATTCCTTTGGTGCGGGTGAAATCCTCTCCTGTTGTAACGACAGTTTTCGGATCAATGAGTAAACATGTACACGTTTGGAGTTCAGCAGGTCTTCCTGAGGGGCTTGGGACAGCCTCCTTCGTTGAGGTGGGCTCCAATGGCTGCTAAAACCTGGGAGTCAAAAGCAACAAGGGGGGTGGGGGGGGGGAGACGCCATTCGCAAAGCCGGAAATGATTAAAATCTCAGGGTTGAGACCATTCCCAGCCAGTGAGGGCCTGCCAAGACCACAGTTCCTGCTTCTGGTGTCTACTCTGAAGAGCGTTGAGTAGAGGTCTGTCTCCCATAATGCTGGCAGTAGGAGCGCTGCGGCTGCCGAAGAGCACAGGGGAAGGGTGAGTCAGTGGCGTGGCGGGCATCGGGCAGGCGCGCCAACTTGAGAGGTCAGCGGCGAGTCCAGCTCAGGGGCCTAGTCTCGCCAGGCTGAGGCGCGGACCCTGCCGGCCTCCGTCCTCTTCCGCCCGCCTCAGGTACAGCCCGGCGGATCCCTCCGCCGCAGCGTGCGCTCCCGGTAGCGCCGCGGTCGGCTTTTCGGCAATACCCGGATGGAAGCGTAATGGCCGCCATCAGGGGCTCGCAGGCAATGGGCACCACGACAGGTACTCCCTATGTGCGCGGCTGCCCAGAGCTGTTAGGATGCCGGGACTTCTAAACGGCCAGTCAGGGGGCAAGATGCGAGTTTGTGGGGGCGACCGGGTCCCCTGAACCGACTCCGGGACCCGCCTCTGGTGATAGGAAGCGCCTGCTAAATAGTCCCGGCTATTCAGTGCTTCCGCCTAACTTGCCGCAAAGTTTTTCTGGAGAAGTCGGCGCTTTCACTCGGCGGTCCTGCGGGCTGCTAGAGCTAACCTTCCGCTTCTGACGTGGGTTCGCCCCACGCTCGGCCTCTTTGAACTCGACATTCTCCCACAGCCTAGGGGCTGGCGCGCGAGCGCGGCGACCGTGTGCCTCCGCGCGCCCGAGGGGAGCCGAGCCCCGGAGGAAGGGGCGGATCGGGCGCGGTGTTTGGGACGGAGCGGGGCGCGCGGCGCTCGAAGCACCCGCTCGGCGCGTTCCGGGGCCGGTGGAGACAGCATGGGTACTGCTGCGACCGCACCCCTCGAGCTGTAGCTTCGCATTCCCACGGCAGCCCGACTCGACGGCGTCCCCATTGTGGGTCCAGTCTCTCTGGTCACTGGAGGTCTTTTCTTGCAGATACGCTCAGCGCCCGGGCGCGCGCCCCCTCCTCCAGAGTTGGCCAGAGGCGCCCTTCTTGCAGACCCCAACCACACCCAGTGGCAGATGGATTTTTCTTTGTAACTTGGCTTTCTCACTTGTAGGGTCCATTTTGAGTCTGTTCTTAACATGGTGTTCTCACTGCCAAATAGACAGTCTCTTCCTCGGTGGATCTGGTAATGGAAAAGATACTAGGGTGAATGTAAGGTAAAATGTTGTGACTCTTGCAGTAGGCCAACAGAACGGATAGGGTAGCTTTAAGGTGCAGAATCTGAAAGTTGAGGCTCAGTTTTCTTTTTAGGTTTAAACTGGGGGGCGTTTAGTGTTTGTGAGCTCTTTTAGCCAGAAACATTCATTGAGCATGTTTGGATATCAAAAGTCTAAAAAAAGCACCGGAAGAAATAAGTCAGTATTTAAGGAATTCCTAAGAATGCCGAACTTTGTGTGGTTGTGACAATGGTGAAACAAGACACCAAACTGTACAGCAGGGTAGGAATTTTCAGTGACTTGAGTGACTGTGTGTTAGGCCTAGTTTACTGTGGGTTTTTTTTTTTTTTTTTTTTTAATGCAGCAAGGGATCTGATCTGAGAGTACCTAAAAGTTAGTATTCTCAGGTTGAACAGATAGAAGCCATTTAAATTGGTTCAGTGAAATACCCTGACATTTCTCAAAGTTTTAACTGCAAATCCGTGGAAATGGATTGTCTTTTAGCAAAGCTATATTTGATATAATGAAAGACGATTGCATTGTGTTAACATTTTCAGGGCGTCAGTGTTTCATGAAGGTGTTAAGCATAGTAGACCACGTTGATTTTTGTTAAAGTTCTCAAATAGGATGAGCCCCCCGTATTAGAAAATTGTTACAAAAGGAGAGGTAGGGATAAAATGCAGGTATCTGACTTGTTTTGCACATCCAAATTTTTCCTTATTAGAAAGTAAGGATAAGTAACTATTCAAGAGGTTATATTTGGATTTCTGGAAGAGTAAAAGGAAAACAACTACAATGAATACCTACTATGTGCATTGATAATGTATGAGCTTTTAAGTGGTTGAGGGTTTTGTTTTTTTTTATATTGTTATCACACTTCAAATCCTGTCCTGTTCTTTCATAATTTCATGATAGTATGTGTGGTCCCAAGTTTTTGTATCTTGAAGCATTCCAGAGGTTATATTTTAGCGTAAATATACAATTTGACTTTAGAATATACTTTAGACATCTCCTTTAAGGTACTTTTATTGTTTACTTTTCTGTTTGGAATTGTTCTTATTGAAGCATTGTTTGCTTTAGATCATTTAATCCAGTTTTTTTGGGGGGAGGCGGATGATAAAAGACTTAAATCTTGCTCAGTTTTCTTCAGGGACTTTACCAAAAGTTTTGTGGTAAAGCACTATAAGCAGAAGAATTGTGATGAAGTTGAAATTTTTATTGATTATCTGATCCCAGGTGTGTAGACTATGAATGTTTCAGTTCTGTATGGGGTGTTGGCTTCACATGGTGAGCAATTTTCATGGGATGTTAGAAAGTACGAGTATAAGAGGTAGTATTGTGGTAGTAGGATGTCTGGGTTGGATCGGAACTAGATTGTTCTAGGTTTGTGATTTTGGCAAGATCCATTTTTCTGGTCTTGTAATAAAAAAAGTGAATTGGATTGAGTCTAAAAGCTTTGAGTTTTGGGATTTTTATAAATTTATGACATGGAGTACAATGATGGGTTATTTGCCTAAAGTGAAGAGAGGTTTTCTTTTTCCTGTTAAATTTATACACATAAGTTGAATATGAAGCATAATTAAATCAAGTATAAGAAAACATTTTACTAACAGGTTTTGTAGTCAGTTTTAAAATTTTGGTCTTCATTTCCAGATATCGTCTCTTCTTTTGATCGCTGTTCCTGATTGTGGCTTTGTCTAAGCATTAAATCACGTGCCTTTTGTTCCTTGAAGAAGGAGGTATGGTAAAGATTGAAGTATTATAGCATGTAGTCTATTAAGCAGTAAATTAATATGTTTTGATATGGGACAAAATAAAGTAGAATAGTTATACATACATAAGTTTTCATAAGTTATAGTGTTATTTGTGGCCTAAATAAAATATTTACAGGTTTTCTTTTAATGTGAGCAAAAAAGGTAGTTTTGGTTTCATAATTTATTATTTAACATTTAGCGATTTCTTTTTTTCTTTTTTTTTCTCTTTTTCTTTTTTTTAATAATAAATTTATTTTTTATTGGTGTTCAATTTGCCAACATACAGAATAACACCCAGTGCTCATCCCGTCAAGTGAACATTTAGCGATTTAAAGATAATTTTAACTATATTCTTCTAAACATAAAGACAGCATTAAGGACTTCTGGGTAATGAACGATGGAGTTACATGTGGTGGGGAGGTGTTTTGAAGTTGTATATAAATGACCAGAAGAGTGTTTGTGTTTTGCTCTAGGAAGTGCAAAGTAGTGCAGCTAAAGAAAAACATACATATTTATATCATGATTAATGGCATCTACATTATGAGTCAGAAAAGGTACTTGAGAATCATTGTGGCATTATGATTGGTTTCCTGAAGACAATCATCTGAATATCTTAGTGTGAACAAAAAGAGGGAAAAAAAAAATCTGCCATCAAATCCATGGTATTATAAGGAAAGCTTTGCAAATCCAGTGGAAAATATTATACCCTTGTACAAAAACATGGTTTATCTACCCTTGAAACACAAGTATCTCTTACTATTTGTTTTGGATAGGTGCTGGGGTACCACAGTATTATATAATTCCTCTCACCAAATACAATGAGAATATACAAAATATATTCTCATAAATATAACCCTAAATTAGAAATAAGATGATATATAGTACTACTAAAATAGTTTAAGTAGACTATACCGACTTAAATTATTACTTTAGTAATCATAAATGGTTATGATTTTGCCATGAGTTTTACTGGTAGATGGCCTTCTTTTCAGGGTCATTTTACACAAAGGCAGGAATGTTTTTATTTTATTAGAAGTTAATGTCTGTCAACTACAATGAGTAGAGAGCAACAAGGCTTAGATACTGGGTAATTATTTATGTTCATTTATATGTGTAATTTCTCCCTTTATAACATTTGTTTGCCCTCTTACTGAATTAGGTTCACATGGGTACTGTGTTGTTTCTGAATAAAGTAAATGCTGAATACTAAGAATGCTCTTTACTGTGTTTGATCCAAAATTCTCAGAAAAAGTAGTATGATGAAGAATGAAAATTTCAAATGTAATGAAGTAGACAAGAGGCCGCTATATGATGACTGACTAAAATGATTTGGATTATTCCATCTTGAAAAATTGTGAGCAAAGTCTGACTAAATTTTAAAATCATGATTGGTATGACTGCATGAAACAGGTATCAGACTATCAGAATGAAGTTGTATGACTTGAAGCTTAGGATAATTAAGTAGATCTCATGTGGGTTTTATTTCAAGAAATGGTAATAGCTGAAAAATATAAGCTTCATGGAAAGTCAGACAATTTCAATATGTGGTAGAATCATCACCAATTCCTAATTAAAATTGCGTTGTTAAAAGAGCTGATAGAAAAAAATATATATGTATTTGTTGACTTTGAACAATGCAGGGGTTAGGGACACTGACCCCCCACACAATTGAAAATCTGCATCTATTCTTTTGACTCTCTTAAAACTTAACTACCATAAACCTGATGAGTGGAAGCCTCACTGATAGCATGAATAGTTGGTTAACTTATTTTGTATGTTATATGTGTTAGATACTGTATTCTTAAAACTAATGATAATAAAGTAATCTAGAAGGAGAAAATGCTATTAAAATCATAAAGAGGAAAAAATACATTTACAGTACTGTATCCAAAAAATCAGTGTATAAGATGACCTTCATGTTTTTGTTTTTGTTTTTAAAGATTTTATTTATTTATTCATGAGAGAAATGGAGTGGGGGCGGGGGTGGGCAGAGAAACAGGCAGAGGGAGAAGCAGGCTCCATGCAGGGAGCCCGATGCGGGACTCAGTCCTGGGACTCCGGGATCATGCCCTGAGCCAAAGGCAAATGCCTAACTGCTAGCCACCCAGGCGTCCCGACCTGCATGTTTCAAAGCTAGGTTGTTCAAGGGTCAGCTGTATGTTAATTTTGTCAACTCAATGTCTCTTCGTTTGGGGAGCCATCTCTCCCCTATTGTGAATGGTTAGTAGGCCAATCATATAGTCTTATAACCCAAGCCTAGTTATCCCTATTGCAACAGTGATTGCCTGTTAATTAAGCAGAGCCCATTAGAATCCTTTTTTGAAATTGATGTATGAATGCTAGGGATGGATGCTCCCTTTTCTCAAAAGTTATTAATCTGGTAGGGTGTTAGTTACATTCTTTCCCACATGTATGAGAACCTCATCTGTAGAAGGAGAAAGTGAAGCCATATAGAAATGGGAGATCGGTGGAGATAGCATTTCAGTTTCAGTTACAGGGACCATGGTAAGAGGTATCTATTGTTTTCTTTTGATTCTGTATGCTACCGTGAGGTCCTTCCCAGTCCCATGGGCCAAAAGTTTGTATATAAATTAATTTGAATTAGATTGCAGCAGAAAATGTTCTGGTGGATATTTGGCCCTTATGAATTTAAGATCTGTAACTCCAAGTTGATAAAAACAGTCTGAAATTAATGTTTGATTACTTGCATAATATTTGTTTTGAGCTATAGACAGTAGGAATGATGGTATAGGTTAATCTTTCATTGAATGTTGTTGTTTACTTAACCTCCTTTCTTCAATAACCAGTTAGCTGATCCTCAACTCAAGAGAATGAAACTTAATTTACCAAAAAAGGGCAACAGGCTACATTTGACCCACAGGCTGTTGGCTGTGGACCACCTTATCATAGACTTAATGAGGCATTTCATTCCACAGCTTCTCATCTTCCCATTATCCTCCTCTCTAATAACTATAGTTTAATTATCTTTATTATTTTCTAAGTTCACCTCTTCCACTTGTTAACTAGACCCCACCCCTTCTCACCTAGTGAAAGGCATTGCTGCTGTTATCTCTTTGTTTTTTTCTCCCTCATCAATTTTTCCATTTTTGTGTGCAATCACACTGTAATTTCCCCCAGTTTAAGAAAGCAAACAAAACAAGAAAATAACTCTAATTCCTTTCTTGGTCTTTTGTAGTAAAATTCCTTAAAGAAGTTGTCTGTACTACATCTCTACTTCTCTTCCCATTTCCACCTAAATCCATGCTAGTCAGCCCTTCTACTGTATAACCCCACTGAAACTGTTCTAATCAGTGTCACTGGTGGTATTGACATTAAGTCCATGGTCAGTTCTCAGTCCTCATCTTGCTTGGCACAGTTGATCAGTCCCTGATCCTGGGAACATTTTCTTTGCTTTCAGGACACCACTCTCCTAACTTACCTCACTAGACATTCCTTTCATTCTTACTAGCTTGTTTATTCTCTTCTTTTTACTCTAAACATTGTAGTATCTCAAGGCTTAGGCCTTGGACATTTCTCTTTGTGTACTTACCCCTTGGTGATTTCAGTTCTGTGTACGTAAATACATATACACACACCATACACCAATGACTTCCAGAATTTTACCTTTCACCTAGATCTCTGTATTCTATATTCATCTACACATTCACATGTCAACTAGATATCTCAAATTCTATATGGCGAAAACTGAACTCATGATGTACTTTCTATACTTACTGTTACCACAAACTCTTTCTATATTAATAAATAGCAAATCATTTCTTCATTTGCTAAGGTTAGAACTTTTAGAGTTAATCCTTGACATACTCTTTCTCTTCACAGACCAAACCTCGTCTGCCAGCTCATCCTTTGGCTCTGTTGTCACAACATAGTCATGGTCTAACCATGCTTCATTGTCTCCACCATTGTTTCACGTCTCCATCATCTCACACCTGATAGTCATAGTGTAATTATCTCCAGACTCTTAACTCCTTCCCAGGTAGTCTGTTCTTAACATTGCAGCCAAAGTGATCTCTAAAAAATAATCCAGTTTATGTTACTTCTCTACCCCAAATGCTGCAGTTGCTTCCCATCTCCTTTATAGTAAAACCAAAGTCCTTTTGGTGTCCCTCAGGCCTTGTTTCAGTTCCATTACTTCTTTGACCTCATCTCCTAGTACTTTCCCTTTGGGGTTTGCTGTTGCAGTCATATTGACCTTCTTCTTGCTATTCTCTGAACATGTTAGGCACACTCCACACTCAGGGTGTTAGCACTTAACTATTTGTTTTCTTGGAATGCTTTCTGCCTCCACTTCTTAAGATCTTGGCTCAAATAAGACTTTCAAATGAGGTCTACCTGACTTCACACTTAAAATTGCAACTCTCCTAGTTCTGCCTATTTTTCTCTGCTTTATTTTTCTCCGCAGCACTTGTGACATTGAAGTATATTAAATAATTGACTTACTTTGTTATCTAAATAGCTGCCAGAGTGTTATGTCCATGAAGGGAGGGAATTTTGTCTGTTTTATTCATTGCTGTATTCTCAATGCTTAGAACAAAGACTGGCACAGATTTGGTGCTACCTTCATGCCCAGCATTATGCCAGATGCTGGTGATATAGCAAAAGACAAGACAGATGTGTTCCTTATGGTTATGCAGCTTTTATTCCAGTGGTAGAGACAGAAAATAAATTGGCAAATACATAAAATATGGCTAAAGTGTTAGAGAAAAGACATACAAGGGGTTTAGGTAAAGAATACTTTTTTTCTGTTTGAGAAGTGATGCTTTATAGGTTGGGGAAGGCTTTTCTGAGGTGATATTTGAGCTGAGACCTAGAAGATGAGAAAGATCTAGCTATTTGAAGAATAGGAGAAAGAACAGTTCAAGCAGGGAACAGCAGGAGCAAAGGCCTGAGATAAGAAAGGTGTATTTGAGGAACTGAGAAACCATCTATGGTACCTTGCTGGAGTATATTTACAGATGAGAATG